AAATATCACCTAAACTTGCAGTATTCCTAGTTTTTTTTTTTTAATGACACAATCAATATCTTTGTTAACATTTTTAATAGAAACCCACGCGTCTCAGTCGCGTGCAAAAGCTAATCCATTTATTAGTGATAGCAGTTAATATTGATTACCCACATAAAACTTTATACATTATAATAACTCTATAGTTCAGACCAATTAGAGATAATATACGAAATGGCGATCTCAAAAACAATAAAATATCAACGCCATTAGAACGAACAGCTCATTCTTATTCATACAATCGCCTCCATTTTGTATCTAATTTGTAACATTTTCGGGGTGTTATAGTAACCTCTTATTATGCATAGTTTTTGTAATTGCAGTGTAGGTGTAGCATATTACAATGGTATCGATAAAAAATGTACCTATCAGATAAGGTCGGTTATTAAGAAATGGCTACCATTTTTTTTATTTAATCTCATTTATAATTCGAGCAATATTTGTAAATCCAATGTTATCCAATTCAATTATTACAATAAAATATATTTCCGTTCTATCTTATCCGCTTCAAAACATCGTTGTCAAAACAATGTTACGATTTTTCAAAAATACGCCCGATGAAAACTTTTTTAAGTTGTTTTGTGCGTTGGAATATGTAAAAAGAAACAACCAAAAAATTCCGTTGAACTTGCCTATATATTCATCATCCTTCTTGATAATATTATGTTTTCAAATAGTTAATAAATCGACCAAAAGGTATGAAATCAAGTTATGTTATAGATAAATCGATGGCTTTGTTTCTTAATCACATTCGGATAATCGGTTAAATAAGTTGCTTAAACATAAATAAGTTCCAGCCTTAAATACGGAATAAATTCCTTTAGGACTGATCCATGAAATCATTTCTTCGATCCTTGCAATCAATCAACCGGCTTAAAAAATATCCGAATGGAACACACGTAGGCAGCGTTTAGCCACGCTCCTTCCACAATAATAGAGGCTGCTTTGAGAGAAAGACGTTTTTCAACAAATTCCTCCGTCGGCACCACATAACAAGGTGTGCGTTCAAAAAAATCACAATTTCAATTTGGCCGTTTGGGCAGTGTTCACGGCTTTTGTTCAAATGTCACGAGCATTTAAGGTGATGTACGCTCGCGCTGCATACCTACGAGGTGAACGTTCGCTGTGTCATTAGAACCATCAAGTTAGCACAAGCTCACACAGCAATAAGTTTTACAGGTCCGTTTTATTAGGTTTACGTACGTTTACAAGATAATATTTTAGATCCAATAAAATTGCCAATCCGTCAATTAAGTTAATGAAAAGAAAAGTTTGTACTATTATGGCGATTTTATATTACGACGACAGTATTAAATATCCGGTTTAATAAACACAACTCGTGGAAAGCTAGTTGTATATTCTCGGTAAGCATAGTACGATACCTGCAGAATGTGCTGTACAAACCCAAACCTAACAACAGAGAAAGAGTCCTGAAAGCACTGAACTTCTAAGTTATCCTGAGGATTATACATTCATAGTTTCATTCATTTATATCATTCCATAGTTATATCATTATAATCGTACCATTTTCGCTACGCATTAAATATACGAAAGTCAAAGGATAATTAACGACGTAATATCACTTGATGTTGATTTTTAGAGTTCAATTCAATGCACATTTTAGCCTAGCATAAAAATACTCATATCCAAATTTGTTTTTATTTAGAAATAAACCATTTGTTTATCGCGATCTAGTACATTATATGTTAATAACTTTTATTTGTATTATTTTTGTAAAATTATTTTATAATACTCTTTTTAATAATTTCCTTGACAAAAGTAATTGAAAATATTCAGAAAACATGGAAACATACCTTAAATTATCCTACCCATCCTAAAACTGCATCCGACGTGCGTAACAAACCGACTAAAGTTTGATTCTCTCGAGAGTTCAAGCATTCGCTTAATCATATCTATATTAAACTGTGAATCGTTATAAAACGCCTCGTTTCAATACCTTTGATGCAATATTCCTCTTTAGAAACCACCAGTGTATAAGCTGGCAGCGATGTTACGGAGCTGGAATTTTACAATGTTTTTCGATAGGATCAAACATCTGACCCTCACACACGGGACCCTACGTGACGCTATTGAAGAATTAATTAACTAGCGTGCTTTGATAAAACGAGCTGAGATCCATTGCCAATAACCCCGTTTTTTGTTTGACGATACAATCGATACTTTTTTCTGTCGGTGTTCTTTAAAGATTACATTTAATGCACTATATGACAGCGTAATAAAAAATAAGTAACCAAAACAAAGTTATCAAAGACCTTTTAAAACACAGTTTTAATATATTTCATCACAAATATTACTAATAATATAAAAACATAAATTTATGTCTGCAAACACATTTTAATTTGTTTTTGAAAAAGTATTTACTCGAAATATTACTTTTAATATAATAATATACACATTAAATGAGCTCTACTTTCTTATACAAACACTGCAACCTCTTTGCAGAAACTAAATTGGATTAGACCACTTATTTACCATAGAAATATTTAGCTGAATAGCTAAATATATAGGTATTTATAGCAAAATAATTTTACGAATACTAATACAATAAAGGCGAAAGTTTAGAAGTTAAGGTCGGTCACGCAGTTTTAATTTTGTATGGGGTTTCTTTTTAAGACTGAGGAGCACCTCAGTAAATAGAGTCCGCAAAATCACACCTTAATGAGCACAACAAAGCAACAACAAATGATTTTGCGGAATTTGACCTGGGTATAAAATAGTTTGCATTTAACAAATAATAATGCATATTTTCATCACCTCGCGAACGAAGTCACGGCCGATATATTATTATATCATTGAAAAATTTTAGTAATATAATTTCCAATTATTAGTAATAAAATATTAAATTTTTAGTAATATTTATTTTTTAGTATTAAAATTTACAATTTTTAGTAATAAAATTTTCAACTTTTAGTAATAAAATTTTCAATTTATAGTAATAAAATTTTGTTACCGCTAATGCAGTATTTGAAATCCGGTGTTATTGTTATCCGTTGACACATAACATAACAAATCTGTTATTTTTTGCGGCACCTTTAACCACGTCTTTGGGTTCTAAAACATTTTTTAGCATTTTATTCATTCCTAATTGAGGTCGGAGATTCGCTAAGGATACGATTAGGTTTTGATTAATACACCTTGATGTGTTTCTCGGTTCGATGTTATACATGTTATTATTATAAAACTGAATGGACTTTTGTAATCACAAATTGGACGTGACGGTGACCTAATGGAATTTGGCGAGTAATAAATGTGCGCTTTTAACAAAGAAAGTCAAAGTTTTATTTGACCGCGAATGTTGAGGGTAATTTTGTATGGATGTGCTAGGCAGTTGGAGTTAACGACGAGGTATTAAGTCTGAATGTGTTATTTTAATTTGTGCGGTCACCGATATGCGGTCGGTTATGGTGGTTACGATTTTGACACAAAGGGATACCTACGTTATTTTTTCTTCGCGACCATAAACCGCGTTGGGGTAATAATTGAATTCATTACGCACTTACAATATACGATTTCTAGTAATTGTGTTTAAATAATGTTCACATTTTGCATTTATATATAGCAAAAATATTTTTCTTATAATAATAGGTATAAAAAGTAAAAATATTTTACTTATAATATATATTGAAAAGTATGAGAACCCCAAACAAAACCTACACTCTGTGTCTAATATCATTAATGCCGTGACCATTCAATTACGATTTCGACGCAGTAATTTATTTATACTATCAAATAATGTTCTATTTTTTCAATTTAAGTAACTCATTTTACAAATTATTAGAGATGTGGACTGCTTTTTTAATTTGCAACCAATTGTTATCCAAATCTATTAACACGCAAGTCGTAAAACGTAACCAGTTCATTCCAGAAACATAATCACTCAACAAACAATTGTAAACGAAGAAAAACTTTTATGCAAATAAGTGTTATATTTAAAAAATGGAGTAACACAGCCTTCCGTTGAGATAACACGCCATTGTGGTACCTACCATAGTTTCCGTTGTGTTAATTGCCATTGGTAAACGGAAAGTACACGAAATGTTAAATATATGTGAAGATTACGAATGGATAAAAGATTTATTATTTCGATACGATTGTTTATGGTTGCATTTCTCAAATCACAACTAGATCCGTCATTGCTACATTACCTTTGGTTTCATAATTTAAATAATCACTTGATAATATCTTCTTTCAACAAGTTATAGCAAAATAAATTGATTGCAGTGTCTTAAAATTGCCAGCTACTAATAAAAGAATAATATAAGTAATAGAATACACGAAAGATTTTACTGCAATATTGATTTAAATAATAATAATAATATCCATTTATTTTTCTCTTCACAATAGTACATTATTAAATTATTATTTTAAATAAACATACTTAAATTTAAACCTAATGTGCATCGAATTGTTTCGATTTAAAACAACTAAACTAATATTGCAGCGTGTTCGACAGTTTTAATCATAATAATGAACTGATAAACAAGGCAGCTAAAGATTTTTTTACCATTTAATATTAAATAGTTTCTATATTAAGAATTTATACACAAACCGGCACATCACTAGGTATTTAAAAGCGGCGATTATTACTGAGTGGAAATATAAAAATATACCTATATTTGTTACAAAGTTAGCACAGATAATTTCCTTTCTTTAAAAAGCTTTGAAATGGCCCCTATATGATTGTGTGCTCGTTAAAATATAACGATTGCTGGGTGTGTTTTATAGTGCTCTTTTACGACTGAAAAGTAACATTTTAGCGCTGCGGGCACTTTATTACGGTGTCATAGATCCGAATACTGTTTTAGTACCTGATAACGAGTTTGAATAGCATAGCTTTATCTTCCTAATTCGACGGCCTCGCCTCTTACATCGAAAACTTGTTATTCGTATCAAGGGAATTTACAATCTGATTTATAAAAGCCGATCTCCTTTTGTTTCAGATGGTCAATCAAATCACCTAAACCTCTTCAACTCCCGGCCGCAGCCCAAAAAGAAGAGAAAATCGAGAACAGCCTTCACAAACCACCAAATCTTCGAATTGGAAAAAAGGTTTCTTTACCAAAAGTACTTATCGCCGGCAGACAGAGATGAAATTGCAAGTTCACTTGGTCTGTCCAACGCCCAAGTCATCACATGGTTCCAGAACAGACGAGCGAAGTTGAAACGAGATATGGAAGAGTTGAAGAAGGACGTTGAAAGTGCGAAAGTGCTCTCCGCTCACAAGAGTTTCCTTGAAAACGTAACAGATTTGGGGATTCTTAAGAAAAAGGCAATGAGCATAGGCGCTAGCGAGGAAGCGGCGACCAATCTCGTTGTGAACGCGTCTAAATGAAACGAGGCGCGCGCTATTGCGCCCGATGTCAACTACAGTCGACGACTACTCGATTATTAATCGACCAATACTCGACTAATGGACTTATGGTGACATAGTTGTTTCACATTCACAAATTCTAGTATTGCGTACTTTACTATTTAAATACGACTGTAAATAAACCTTAGGAGTTACGTAGTATATTGTACAAAATGAAGATGCTTCGTTCGAAATAAATGTGATAGTTGATTTTATTATTTAAGTAAGTACTTAATATTTTATAGAGATTCATTTAAATTATTTATTGAGGCTAATGTCGGCTGACGTATCACTGGTTACTAATTACAATCTAGGCGTATTAACTATACCCATTTTTATGAAACAAAGGCATTCAGATTTATTATCAACAATATATTTAACAGAAAACTTAGTCTTTTAATAATCACAAACCATAAACTCAACTGTCAAAGAGAAATAAAATGTTAATAAAAATTGACACTTAGTCACGTTTTACAGCGTGCTAGAGACTTTGTTTTAATATTTTATTTTAACGGTCTTTCTTGTATTGAAAACAGCCTAATGCTATATCATAAATACATAAGTTAAATATATTCATGAAATTTAAATATTTATAAAATATCTTTGCTAAAAGTGTCACATGTTGGTTTAGGCTGAGACCGCACTGGGCAAAACACGTAGGTTGAACTGAAAACTTAAAACCGCATACATTGCCGCTCACGTTTCAAGCCGGCTAATGCGCTAGCTAGTATGGAAGGCTATGTGTTACAAACCGCAAAGATTCAGACTTATGTTCAATTGCGCATTGCGGCTCAGACCTTTATATTGCGTAATCGGTAATAAATTTTTGAATGGTCACGTATATACACAAGATTTATTTAAATGTGCAATAATAATTGGGCATGCTTACGTCAGTCGAGTTAACCGTGAATGTGTACATATTAAATACTTAAATGTAAAGGTAGTTTTCACTAGACATAATTAATACATTTTTAATTATTAATGAGAATCAAAATGCTAATAGTGATCTTATCTAATTTATAATTAGTAAGGATAGTTTTACTAATTTTAAATTAGCTCTATCATTGTATTTAGCTACTAATACAGCAATGTCAGGGTTAAATTATCCAAACTTACATTTGGCAGCTATGAAATTTGTGCCAACCCTTACATGCGCTAAATAAAGACATTATCGTACTTTTTAAAATGAACATTCGATATGATTCGTCGTCTTACTCTTACTTGTGTATTTTTAAAGCCGCAGATAAGGATATGGCATAATAAAGTTCACAACATATGTTGGTTTTAAGAGAACCATCCAGGACGGGATTTAGTGAAATTTTTACGTTGAAAATCAAAAATCTTTTCCTTGACCCTTTTTTGAAGGTAATTTTTAGTTCAAATAAACAAAGATACATATATGCCTAAAATATTTTCACGCTATTTAAACTAAATCATTTCATAGCTGTTCAATTAACATTGTGTACATAATTGTCCTGACTAAACCCGTGTTAATGTCAGTTACTTTTCTATAGTAAATATAAAAGTAATTAAAATTGTTAATATAAACCGTATCTCCATATATATTTTCTTAGTTAAAAAATAAAACTGTTTGTTTTATTTTTATTTTCTTTTTTTAATCTATCATAGCTGGTTCCAATCGTTTCTATTACAGCATTGTGAATAAATTAATATTTAATATTATTTGTATTCAATAATAATCAAAAATTATTTCAGTGACAATTTGTTCAATATTCTTAACAAATACTTATGTTTAAATCATCCATACTTTTCACAAGCCATCCTTTTTATGTACTTAAAAAAATGCCAATGTTATTCCTATTTCAATGTTTATTCTGTTTTATAATAAAATCCTAAATAATCAAATGGGATACTGTTAATAATTTGATAATAAGGTAATACTACTTGTTCCTACTACGTTACATACATTACATTGTTTCAGAATGTAACTTTTATACAATGAATCACTAGGCGACTATTTGCCTAAACCATGTGAATATTAATTAATGTAAATAAACAATTATGTGTTCTAAATACTTGTTGTTTTTGTGTTTTTTTTCAAATCAAAATTATCATCAGCCTATAATATCCCCTTTAATGGAACACAAGCCTTCCCCATCGATGTAATCGAATCTACCATCACAAGGGCCCAATGCAGAATGTTGGGTGATAAATAATAGATGCAGCCGGGACCGTAAACTTAACGTACTTTCCAAAGCATGGACACTTATAAAAAGTATAATAATAAAAAATATATCTAACAAAAACGATGATTATTTTTTTTGTCTGTCCATTACATAAATTGAATAATATTAAGAACGTATTTATAAATACTGGGAGCTATATCATATGCGGTGAACATAGTCTTTATTTTCTGTCGAATAGAATCAATGAAAAAGGGAGTGGAAGTTTGTGTAAAGAATTAAATCGTTATCATAGTATTAGAGACCAAGATGAGATCGAACTGGAAACGCAGAGTCTAATTAAAATGTCTCACCTTTGTACATTTTGTACATAGTTGTGACATAGCAAGCACTCCTCATCTTTAATGCCTATTTAACGAAGCCATTTCTTGTTTAATTGAAGCAAAAGAACGTGTCTAACATTTTTCTATTAGGTATCTGACTGACGGAGTAAGCAGAATGTCTTTTTATCATCATTATTGTAAATAACGTCAGTTATATAATCTATGTCTATATAAATTACAAACTATTATTAATAAAACTCTCAAAATTATAAACTTACGATGCTTACAATTTTGCGATTGATATATCTCTGCTATACATAGCATACTCCGCTATACTCAGGTAAGCATCTACATAGTCAAAATTTTGTTATAAAATAGATTATCAAATGGGAAAAAAAACAAAAATTCGTGGTATAAAATAGGAAAACAATGTCAATATACAACCAAGCCTACAAAACCGCGATAATGTTAATGATTTTTTTCACATTAATCCGCCTCAAGCTATTTTGGTAGCTCGATTTCTTGATATCACTTGTGTCAATAGTTATAGTATTATTGCTAGCAAAATGAATACCTACATATTTAAAAATTATTTTGAATCGGTTAATCCTGTAAATCTTTTAAATTATTAGGCTTCTAATTAAAGAATAGCGGCAGCCTTCATTAATAAGATTACATTAATAAACATATTTTGACTTTAGATTGATTTTTTTTTGAAATATTATTATTTATTGTTTATTTTCAAAAACACATATTATAGAAAATGTGTTAAGTCAAATAAGTAGTGTGGGGGACAAATAACTGACGAGTAGGTAATTTCAGATACATATTGTAATATTGCTAACATCCTGAGTAAAGTATATCCTTTGTTGTAAAAACACTGAAGTACATTGACGTGACTGATACATAAAAGTAATATATAAGTTTAATACAAATAAGGCCATAGTTCCTCACTCGACTAAAGACCAAATCTATTAATAGTTAAGTTAAAAATTATCAGCAGTTTAGTCTTTGTAGTAACCTAATGTACTGCTGTGTATAATAAAATACAATATCCACACCCAAATATCATATGAAAAATTATAATTTTACGTGACGAACTCAAGACTTCAGTGTTGGAAGCACCTCGAAATCAGGGAATGAGCCACAGTCACGAACCGATACGGCAAGTATTATTTCTAACGCCGCAATAATAAATACTAATTGCACATAAAAATATATATTAGGATTTGCAACCAGTAATTTTGCTATTTACCGACATGGATAGTTTAAGCAAAAAATTGTTAAAACTATACTGAAAACTTTATCATTGTATACACTAAGAATTGATATTATCACGTATAGATAGTAATTCACGGGCACGCTCAGGTTCTGGACTAGACTGACCCCTTTGAGCCCTCACCTATTATTATCAACAGTAGATAGTACGTAGGTATACAAAATTTAGAGGAATATTGACTATTTAAATATTTGCTAAAACTACCCATCTAGGAAAATATTAATAGAAATGATAGATATCATAAAAACCTTGCATTTTAAAAAATAGAAACTAGTTTTTGTAGATCAGTAAATGAAAATTAATAATAAATAACTATTTAAGATGAAGAATAGTTTTTGTAAGAGTTAAAATCCGTAGACCATAATAAGGTTGGAGCCGGGTCCAATGTCTTAACGTACTTTCCGATATGTTATGGAGCTTGACTTAATAATTTTGTCCGCCCATCTGATTTTCAAAAAGCTGCATTACCAAAATCAGTAATCACATGCTATAACCCCTTCGATTAACTTGTAGGAAGATTAGATTAATTCATAAGAATCAATTAATTCATTCATCATACAATACGGATCTTAAACATCTTGAAAGCGGCTTAAAAGTGGGCTCCGAAATCCCGATGATGCATAAGGCCCAATTATTAAATTTCTTAGGAAAACAATTAAAAGAACTTCATAGAAAATTATTCGCTTCGCCGTAAAATCTATTCGTCGCGCGTTACAAGTTACAAAGCGAAGTATTGGTGAAAATTCGCCGTTTACTCCAACGTGCCTGGACTCACGTCGCGTGCCCAAATAAGTGATGTAAAGCTAGTTATACATTTGACTAAATGTTTTTATAAAGGTTTAGGTAAATCAATACGGCTTCGGGTTCAATCTATAGAATATTGTAGTGTATATTAGAAATAAAGGTACTTAAAATTAGTATAATTTCTTTGAGTAACAAATTCCCCTCCTAAGTATCACTCTTTCAGGGCTAGATATAGATGTGCAAGCTATTAGACAATGTCACACACATAAATAAGTTTCCAAAATAAGTAGCTAACATCGCATTAAGGAGTTCATCAATAACAATACCAAAACACTAGACAATAAAGAAAAGAACATTTCTGACATTTACCAAAGTCGAACGTTGGACCTCGGAGATGGCGAAACTTTAACATCTTCGTACGAGCCACTCTGCTACGATAATTTATTTTAATAAACAAAAATGTCGTTTAGAAAATTTCTAACAATGCAAGAATACAAAGTTTATATTTTTGGGGTCTTTCTTCTATTTAATTCTCTTGTTTTGACTACAAAATATTTTGGTCAATCAATCACATATGTTAGTTTATAACAAAAAAATAAGTAACTTTTACAAAAAGGTACTTTTAAAAATACGCTAAGATAATTTAATACAATGAAATAGCTGATCGATTCTAATTATCAAATAAAAAAAACTATTTTTTCAGATTTTTTAACAAATTGTCCTTACACATAAATTTTATATTGTGTCCTAACGCTTACAGCATCCATGTCAAATTATGCCGACTCTTCGAACACAAATTGTTAAAACTGTACGAGAATTAGTTACAGACGAGAGTTTGTTAAACGCTAATTGGTCACCCACAAACTGTTATCACCAACTAAGAATAAACCATCCACTGTCGAATGCAGTACTGAAAAACAGGTCCAGTAACGCTGGACATAAGTTTCCATCATGCAAGATTCTATGGTGTTATTCAAATAGTTTGTTCACGGTTGTTAATTCGTTATTTAACTATAGTATCCTTAAAATATGATGAACCGTAAACAATAAATAAATGTAAAACAACTTCAACCTACATGTCGTATAGGTATGTATATTTGTATTAAATGTATGTTCTTCATATGTAATTTTAACCATACTTTATACTATGACTAGAATCACATATGAAGTCAATGTTACAGTTAATGTTAATATATAACTACATATTACGAAGTGCTTTTATTTCAAGTGACCGTTTTAAGTACTTCACATTGCACTGCCGCCACCAAAGGTGCGACCGCCTAAGCTCTAGCCACGACTCTAGCGATTTTTGATTTCATTTTACTACTGCGATAAGTTGGTAATACTGTTGTCGATTTCATTATCATTATTCGTTCGTCGTTATTAAAGTACATGTAAAAGTAGTAAAATAAAATTAGAAATCGCTAATATATCGTACCTTGCGGCTAGAGACATGGCTTGAAATTTCGGCGTTCGCATTCCAGGTATTCCAAGCACTCTCTTAGTGATATATACTTTGAGTACTTCCACAGACTGGATCATCAAACGTTAAAAATCTTTTGCGCATTTTCGTCATATTATAAAAAAAAACTCGTAAAAAATAAAAGAAAATATTAAATAATACACGTGTAATTTCAACAGTTCTACAAATCTTCTATGCATATACACCATTCAAGTTTTATTATTGCAGTAATTAAATTGAAATTTTTCTTTACGATGCATTGAAAGGAGTACAAAAAAGTTTAAGTAATAACACCAACAAATTATCTTAACACTTAAAAAAACAGCGTAATAACACAGTCACGAGCTGTTAATTTATGTTGATATTCAGTAATTAACCCTCCTTTGATCGGAACTTTTTGAAACAAATTTCAGTGTCTTTGTTAAAAAAATTGATATAACATTTTTGTGTAATGCCGGGTGATAGCATAGGAACACCCCTTCTTTTGTGCAACAACCACTATAATTATAACTCGGCATACATTTCACAGAGTTTTGCTTCGTCCGTTTTCTTGATTATAAGCTCAAAGAGGAGAGGTCAAATTTTAACGGCTGATGGTTTATTTTAAAAACAGTTGTTCGCTCCAAATATGCGGTCGAAACATCAAGTAATTATAGTGCATAATCCTACGATATCATTATATTCCATTTGTTTTTAGAACCGCAGTTAAAGGTAGAATTTGTTTTGAAGTGTTTGCTTGTAATTATTATTACATTTTGTAGCAATATGCTGTTAATATTCCGGTTTTTCTCAAGGTAATTAGTTTTGCTAATGATTAAGCCTTTAATAAAGAAATGTGGAACATAAAGACAATACGAGAAAACTTATATTTTTGGTAGTCGCAGTTATTTTATAAAGACAAAATTATTGAAGACCTATTTCAAAAAGAATCACAACTGTTGTCAGAAAATAATACCGAATCCTCATTAACTAAGAACTAAAAACTATGGAATGGTATGTTTTCCTAATTTAGTTTGCCACGTGGCTAAATATGCGCCTTGGGCGGCGACAGTTGACCAACACCATTTAGCTTTAACATA